ACAAAAATTGTGGAAAATGACCCCCTTTACTTAGTATGCATGCTTCAGCCCTCCTCATGGAATTGCGGACTCGTTGAAATACCCCTGGAGTGTTTTTTATTCTATCAGTAGCTGCAACTATTCTTTCTCTTAATTCCTCTACAGTGTTAATGGGACTTGTGTACACTAGTGTTTTAAGGTAGCCCCACAAAAAGAAATCTAAATTGTTGAGGTCTGGGGACCTTGGTGGCCATTCTTGGGGCCCACCGCGGCCAGCCAGCGATTTGGATAAACAGTTTGTAAATAACTACGAACCGCTACACTGAAATGTGCTGGTGCACCATAATGCATGTATCACATATTGTTTCTTATTACTAACGGAACATCATCAAGCAGCAAAGGCAACTGTTGTTGAAGAAAATTTAGATAAGTCTGTCCGTCAAGTCGTCCCGGCAGGAACAATGGGCCAATAAAGCGGTTTCCAATAATTCATGCCCATACGTTAACCGAAAATTGGTGTTGGGAATGGGTTTCGGTAACGGCATAGAGATTTTCTTCTTCCCAAAAATGATTATTGTGGAAATTCTGAACGGCATTTCGAGAAAAATTAGCTTCGTCCGTGAACAAAATCAGTGATTCAAATTGGGGATTTTGTGTAATTTTTTGAAGATACCACTGACAAAAGGTCACACGCATTGGAAAATCAACGGGAAGTAATGCTTGTACTCTTAAAATATGATAAGGATATAACAAAAAAACCACTAAAATTCTCCAAACAATTTGATGGCAGATATTTAAGTGTCTAGCGATCTTCCTCGTACTCGTTTCAGGATGTTCTTCGACTTCGTGCAGCACTGGTTCCTCAATTTCAGGTGTTCTCACACTTAGAGGTCTACCTTCAGATGTTCTTTTTCGAACAGAACCAGTTTCAACAAGACGACGATGAATATTAGAAAAGGTTCGACTGTCTGGCAAAGCACGATCGGGATATCTCTGGTGATAAATCCGTCTGGCTTGCTCACCATTGCCGTCGGCAAGGCCATATACGTAATACATTTCCGCTATTTCTACATTTGTATAATTCACCATTACTAACAAGATTCTAAAAACTGAATAATGAAAAAGATGTCACAGCGAACAGATTTAAATAACAGAGACTTGTCAGATGTCAAAAGCCAGTGACATATTCCAGAGCAACTAGACATTTATTGCTAAATTGCATTCTTCAATTATTACCTTAATTTTCTCGGACAATAGAACGGTTTTTATTTTTTTACTGAAAAATTTCGCTTCGAAGTAAAACAATTCAAGAAAGATCATTTGTTTTAAATTAAACGGGAAATTTAAAAATAATTTTTATTTGGCAAAAAGCTATTGGCGCACCATTTTTTTCTTAAAAAATATCGAAGTCGATACCCGTACGCACGCCACTGTTAAGGCTAAAAATTATTTTTGCATTGAAAAATATGCAACTTTATTAACTTTCACTACGTATTAAATATCAGTGAAATAACTGAAGCGGTTCTGAAAATATTAATTAATTTCCATTTTTCTCCTAAAACTTCAATACTCCGAGTTTTTTATGTAGATTCACACCCTTAAATATTCGAATATCATTAAGGTGTTTTAAAACGAAAGTGTCGACGAGAACCCTTATTGCAATTGTAAAACCAAAAGAACTGACGCGGAAACCATAGCTAAGTGTTACCACTATATATCAATACACCCGAACAAATTAAAAATTATAAAACATTTTCAAGGTATTAAAACATTTAGTACTGCTTTTTGCGGAAACAGCAAAGTCGCCTCTAACCGCGCACATCTGTTGCACGTGGTGTTAGGTTAGGAATGTGCAAAAATTTCCAAATTTCCAGTACGAGGGGCATTCGAAAAAACTTTCATATTTCCCAAAATACTGGATTAGCTTTGTCTTGGAAAAGTGTAATTTGTATGAGCATATGATGGTAATGACACACCAGAAAAGATGGGTTGTGTGAAGATTTATGAATATTTATTATTTCTACGAGACCTTGAAGTATTTCTTCACAAGTAATATAATGGAACTTTGTTCTAATGTTGGGAGGACCTTGGACCAACTGGAATATGTAGTCGTTCCAGTTTTTCGCAATTCAACAGGTAAGAATAAATGACACTTAGTAACTTAACGTCAGTCGTTTTATTCATACAGTGATGTCATGAAAATGTGGTACAGTTCTACAATGACACATTGACACTTGTCAATAAACCCGTACGAATTAAAATGAGGGAAGAGTAATCAAATTATCAAAAACTAGAATTAAATCTTGGGGAAGGACATTTGTTTTATCCCCGTATACTAGTTACACGTGGTAGAGGTGAACGACCCGGAAATGTGACGTAGAAGACAAATGACAGATGTACGTTACGTTAGAATGTGGAAGTTGTAAAATTAAGTTAACACTTTCTGTGCTTAAGAGGAGTGTTTGAAAAATTACATATTTTCACAAAATGCTGGAATAGTTTGGTATTCGCAAATTATACCTTATATGAAAAATAATTGTAAGCACTAATTAGAAAACATGGATTGTATGCAAAAATTCCGAAAACTTGAAAGTTCCTTTTTTAAGAAATCTGGTTAAATGATTATTGTAAGTAGGATTTTTGTGATGTTGGACAATTGTGTTATGTTATTGTGAAGATAATGTATCATGGGGAATATGTAGTCGTTCTAATTTTTCGCAGTTCAACAAGTGAGAATACATGATATTAAGTTGCTTAACACCAGCCTTCTTGTTCATACAATGACCTGTCACGAAAATGTGAGACATTTCCATGAATACCCGTTTCGAAAGGTGTTTTTCTTTGATAAGGGCCCTAATACCGTTATAACTCATAGAATGACCTGTAGTGTTAACACGTGATGCCAAAGCTCATCTTTCTTGGCGTATTCTGGCGTCACCTAGAGCGAGGTGATCCTGCCTTTTAAAGATCTAGATTGTTGCAATAGACAGTATTGGTTAAGTAATTAAGTTATTAACTGTGAGTACTGATTTACAGGCAAAACGACTATTTAAGGAGTTATACAACCTGATCCGTTTGGGAGTTAATTCTTTAATGTATGGCAAGACAACCTAGCCAACTCTCGGATGAGGAGCATCATCGACGTTATTATTATTGTTATTACCCGATGAGTCATGAGGGGTGGTGTTTGGGAATTGAAGGGATGTCATTTCCATTATTATTAGGAGTTGGCAAAATATTAGAGGGAGACCTGAACAGGATTCCGTTAATCAAATACTTCGATAACCATTATTGATGAATAAAGTTGAAAGCTTCCGTAGATTTTAAAGATGGAAAGTACTGTCGGAGATTATAATTAACCTATTTTTCATTTATTTCACCAAATTTATCTTTAAGTTCATGGTAAGAGCTAAAATTTAGGAACCTTCCTGAGGAAATGGGTTTCCTGTACCAATCTACCAGCAACACACTGTTGTTATTGATGATCAATCTTGAGTCTTGGTTTTCATCTTATTTTTTTGATAGTGAATTCAGTGCAAGGGTCATAGCTGTTGAAATCATAAACAAAACTATCCACTCCCTCAGATGGAAGGCAAACAATAATATCATCCACATATTTGGCTAAAGGTTAAGAGGCAAAACTTGAATAACAGTATTAAACAGATCATCAATCATATATTCTGCCAAAATTGGAAATAAAACTGAGCCCATTGGACCATCATGTGTTGGTGAGAAACCTTGGTTTTTAACGTGAAATAATTGTTTTGGAAAAGGTACTCCAAAATTTAAATGAAAGAATTCAGAGTTAGATTACTGTGATGGCATATCTGATACCAGAGTGTTATGGATCTAATGCAAGCTTCCTAATGGACATTACTGAAAGGTGAGACCACATCTAGGATAGTAATGACATGAATAGGTAGTATTTTAGACCTATTATGTTGTTGACAAACATCAAAGGACTGTTTAATTTCGGATACTATATAAGTCTGCTCACATTAAAGGAGAATATTATGTTAATATGTTAATGTTCACCGTGCTGTGGGCCGGGACTCAATATAACAATATAAGTTTTACACCATACAGCTGTATTGACTTTTTTATGAGTTATGAGCGGCTAATTTGTGTTATCTTTTATGAACTGATGAGTTATACAACCTGATCAGTTTGGGAATTAATTCTTTAATGTATGACAAGACAACATAATCAACTCTGAGATTGGTGGCATCATCGGTATTATTATTATTATTTCTTTTAAATTTCTCAGCTCTTGATTGTTGGTGGCTGGAACCTGAGATTGTCTTTACATATGTGTCAAAATTCTTAGACACGGCACCTGTGGAACCTATTATAAATGGTACTATGTGCGTACGCATTTGCCACATTCCGTTTATCTCAATAGACAAATCCCGGTACTTTAGAAACTTTTCAGCCTCTTTGTCTTTCACGTTATAATCCGTTGGTACTGCAACATCAATTATAGTGCATAACTTACTTTTATGCTCTTTGATAACGATATCCGGTTTGTTGGCAGCAATTGTTCGGTCTGTTATTATAGACTGATTCCAAAGAATGGTGACATTAGTTGCAGTTACAACCTGCTGTGGTTCATGATCATACCAACGCTGTTTAACGTCAATATCGAAATCTTTGCAGATTGAGTGGTGCAAGATCTTGGCAACTCTGTTGTGTCGTGTAACGTATTCGCGCTGAGCGAGGATAGGGCATGAAGACATTACGTGAGATATGGTTTCATCCTTCTCTTTGCATATCCTACATTTGGGATCGTTGTTTCTTCCCAGTATCCGGTTTGAATGGTAGTTGGTATTTAAGGCTTGATCTTGTGCCGCTGTTATGAGACATTCTGTTTCACCCTTTACGTTTGCTCTTGTGAGCCATCTCACTGTGTCTTCTTTGCTGAGGTTATGGTTTTGAAGTACTCGGGTAACATATTGTCCATGCAGGGCCTTCCCTTGCCATTTCTCCCTCAGTGCCGACTGGATAGATATTTTGTACGTCACCTTTCTTTTCTGCAAGTCTGGCCCTAAGGATTCCCGTATAGATAACTGGCGACTGAATTTTGTTGCAGTTTGTATAAGGGACTTAGTTACTGGCAGAGAGAGATCGTAGTTTCGGGCAATCATTATCATTCTGTCTGGGCTGTTTTCACAGTAGTCGCTTATACTGAGTATTGCTGACTTGTAGGCTGCCTCCACTTGCTGTAGTCCCCTGCCTCCCTCTTTCCTGGAAACGTAAAGCCTGTCGGTGTCGGCGCGAGGATGTAGCATACCATATAATGTTAGCAGTTTACGTGTTTTTCGGTCGATTGCTTTTATTTCTTCCAATTGCCAATCGATTACGCCAAAACTATAAACAAGGACTGGCAATGCAAATTGACCTAGCGCGCGGATCTTATTTCTGCTGTACAGATGACTATTGAGTTTGATTTGGTTACGATTTATCCGTTCTCCTTTGTCAATACCTAAATATTTAGAAGTATCAGCATCTTCAATTTGATAGAACTGTGTCTCTTCCATGTGGTTGTTCATTTGCAGCTTTCCTTTTCTGAATATAGCCTGCGCGCACTTATCCAGCCCAAACTCCATATGAATATCATCGCTGAATCGTCTAACTGTATTGATTTGTTCTTCTAGATCTGTGTCATTTTTTCCAATCAGTTTCAGATCATCCATGTAGAGAAGGTGGTTGACTTTGGAACCATTTAAAATGTAGCCAGCTCTTATTCTATTCAGTTCAGCAGACAAAGGAATGAGTGAGATACAGAAAAAAAGAGGTGACAGGGCGTCCCCTTGGAAGATGCCTCTTCTGATATTAATTTTTGATGTGACGATCTCAGTATTTGGACCTTTTAGATGAACAGTGGTACTCCAAGAAGTCATCATTCTTTTGTAAAGCTCAATGATTTTGTCGTTCACACCGACAAGTTGCAGACTTTTTAGAATCCATGAGTTCCGAAATCCGAGACAGGACCTTCTTTAAGTTCTGGATCTTAGCTTTTAGCCTGCCTTTCCATTCCTTACCGTTGTTTGATTTTCTATTAGTGCTCGTTGTCGCTGATCTTTTTATGATGGTTTCAGTTATTTTTCTTGCTATGACATAAATAAGGGTATTCAACTCAAATAGGCTCAAACGGTGTTTATCCAATAATCCTTCTAGGAATTCATTGTATTTCGTTATCTCTGCCTTCAATTTGTGGTCCAACCTTAGCTTATTGAGTCTTTGTTTCGTAGTCGTGCTATCCTTCAAAAGCAACTCGTACTCTCTTAAGACCTGTTCATATTCGCGGCTGCATTGTGCAGGGAAGGATTTCTCGTGCATGTTTTCTTCTTCATGTGCAACGGGGTGCTCACTTGGCGAGTGAGTTTGAATCTCCTCCGCATTTGTTATCTGTGGTCCTTCATCTAGAGCGTTAACTTGCCTCTGATGATCTTTTATACTTCTTTTGATGCCGTCAATTTCGGTAGGAGATACTTTGCTATTCTTGATACAGTAGTTCACTTGATTTAAAAGCTTTTTCGCATCGATATGAGGCCTACCACATTACGGTTGCGGTTTCTCCAAAGGTGGTATACTTCTTTATAGTTTGCATGGGATGTTTAATGGCAATATAGGTAACAACAAAACATCTCCCTTAGTTCTTCTTTAGTCCATCTAATCCTTTGTCTATGTATTTGTATTGTGTTGCTAGATGGTTCTCCACAGGTTTCCACTGAGGGTCCAGGATGAAAATCCTCGTTCTGGTCACCCCCAGATGGGTCTTGGGAAGGGTTGGAATTCTGCAGTGTTGACGTACCAACCATGTTGTCATTGAGGGAGCTTACACTTCGATCAGCTGACCTGCGAACAGGTGCTGTATCTCTATTAAATGTCAAATTGTCCCCCCCAGAATCCGAGGGACGGACCGCCTGGGCGGTGCAAGATTCTGAAGCTAAGTCTCTACTTGCCTGGGGTAGCGATACGTTTGTTTTATTTGACATTGTGAGTGTTATTACCAGATCCCCGTTAGCCAGAAAATACGCGCGTCGTTGTTATGCATGCTTCTGCCCGCCCCACACTTGGAACTTACGATTTGGCTGGAGTTCCGGAACAGAGGTTGGATTTGTGTGGGGCTTATTTTTTTTTTAAACCCACAGTGGCATCGACAGCTATGGTCATTAGCCACTTCCCTCCTGCCTCATGAGGTCATTAAGTTGAACCTAGCATCTCAGGGATAGATCTGAGAGTTGGATAATATATAGAACGCACACAATGACATACAGTATAAATAATACATTGCATCATCCCATTTACTTAATTCAAGTATGGAGGTAAAACTGAGTGTCTACCATAGGTAAATTACTACAGCATTGAGTTTGTCCTGTTCGTAGTAAAATATTTGGTGTGCCAGGCAGAATTTAGGTAAGTTGTGGTAATAATACATTCTTATATAGGATTCATTGTTTTCTATATACACATATACCCACATATACCTATTTTTCCAGATATTTATGTTGGAGCTAATATTTTAAGATTTTTATATTGGAAGATTTTTTGTTTAGATTTTGTGTAGCATATTTGTCGATTTCATGAAGTTCAGTAAGTTGTTTATGTTTCTGTCGTTTGAAAAGCATTCTTTCAGGTTTCTTGGTATAAAACATTCTAGGCGTTTAGAGTTATATTTTGGACACTCCAGGATGATGTGTTCTACGGTCAGAGTGCAGTGGCATTCATCGCATAGTATTGGGCTTCGTCCTAGGATAAGATGTGATGAAGTTAGGTGAGTATGTCCAATCTTTATTCTTGTAAGACAAACTTGTTCTCGTCTAGTTAGGCCTGTCGGATATTTCCATTTCTCGATTGTAGGTTGTAGTATCCTCAAACGACTTATACTTTGGCTCCACTGATTTTGCCAACGTTGATGTATCTGGAGCTTGAAATGGGCTTTTAGGTCTTCAGGAAGTACGGTGCTGACGGGGGTTCCATTTTGGGTCGCGTCACGAGCTGCTGCATCTGCTAGTTCGTTGCCAGGAATATTTACATGCCCTGGAGTCCAAATGAATACGACTGTGTTCGAATTCTGCGTTAGTTTATGGCATCGATTAATCACCTGCTGGACGAGGGGATTCTTAGCTTGTTGATTTCGTATAGATTGAAGGGCGGTCACTGAATCTGTACATATGAGGTATGTACTACACCGGGTTGTTTTGTCAAGCAAGTATTTAAGAGCTGCCGAGATGGCATACAATTCGGCTGTATATACGGAAGTAATAGGATTTAGACTATACTTAAAGGTTTCTGTTAGGGTGGTGAAAGCTGATCCTACGCCACTTTCATTTTTCGCTCCGTCTGTGTAGATGATTTCAGGTGTATTATATCTACTTATTATTTCATTGAATTTATGTAGATAAACACATCCCGATGTTATGTTTTTTTGATAAATAGCGCAGTCTAGTATAATATTCGTCCTGGTGTCGATCCATGGTGGAGTTTCACTTGGTTTCTTATTGTATATGTCAGGGATAACAGTGCCAAGGTCGTTTATAATCTCTGATAGTCTGGCTCCGAATGGTCTTGTAATAGTAGGTCGGTTGTCGTATTCTTTACTGCTATCATTGTTGAAAATGATATCGTGGTTTGGGTGAGAGGGTTGAGCCCATATGTTAATTCCATAGTTAAGCATTAACTGTGATATGCGTAAATCAAACGGTGGAGTATTCGCATCGCAATATATCGAGCTGGATGGAGTAGTGCGAAGCGCACCTAAGCACAGTCTTAATCCTTCACGATGGATGACTTCCAGGGTACGTATATGCGATCTTCTGGCAGCGGCAAAAGCTACAATACCATATTCCATTTTTGACATTACCAGCGATTTGTATAGCGTAAGTAGGACATCTCTGTCTGGGCCCCATTTTATGCTGGAGACGCATTTTATTACGTTAAGGGCTTTCTTGCATCTAACAGCTAATGACTCGACTTGTGGTTTCCACATCAGTTTACGATCAAAGATTACTCCTAGGATCCGGTGAGTTTCTTTGACTTGGATTAATTTTCCTTCCAAGGTTAATGCAGGTTCCCTATGTGCTGTTCTTAGCCGACAAAAATGGATTACTGTAGTTTTTGATCTAGAAAAGTTAAGACCATTTCTTTTAGCAGTTTCAACCAGGTTGTCGATGGTCTCTTGAAGTTTACTTTCCATCGTGACCATTTCTTTTGCCGAGTAATATATGGTTAAATCATCCACATACATATATTTTCCAATGGATTCATCGATGCACTGGAGTAAGTTGTTGGCAATTATTACGAACAAGATTACGCTGAGGGTGGAGCCCTGAGGTATTCCGTTTTCTTGGAGGTACGTATGAGATACTTTGTCCCCCAGCCTTACCTTGAACGACCGGCTTGTAAGGAAGCTTGCAATGAATGTGGGCAGCCGTCCCCGAATTCCCCATTGATGGAGAGTTGATAGGACTCCATATCCCCAGGCGGTATCGTATGCCTTTTCTAGGTCATAAGAGATATCAATCAGATGGCTCCTGTTGGCAAAACTGTTCTCTATGGCTGTTTCCAAGTGGATAAGGTGGTCTACGGATGATATGTGCTGCCTGAAACCTGTCTGAGAATTTATTAGGATTTTGCTCAGACAACAGGTCAGGGCTATTGGTCTGTAGCCCTCAGGCTTTGTTGAATCTTTGTCTGCTTTAGGAATAGGTATCACTATTGATTCTCTCCACTGATCTGGGTAAGTACCAGTTTGCCATATTTTATTAAACATTTCTAATATTGCTTGTTTTTCTGTTACAGGTAGGTTGCGTATCATGCAATGGTGGACGGAGTCCGGGCCAGCGGAGGAGTCGTTAGTCTCTTGAAGAGCATTTTCGAATTCGGTAAGTGTGAAATTGTTGTTATATTCCGATATGTTAGATTCACTAAAGTCAAGTGCATTGCTTTCAATTTCTAGCTTCCTTTGATAGGCCCCAAGGCTTAGGTTGTCGTTGGAACACATCTCTTCAAAGTGCATGCCTAGCATGTTGCTATCTCTGTAACGCCCGTAACTTCTCTTCCTCCTACTCGTAACACTGGGGAAGGTGTGGCAAAGTGTTTGCCAGATATGGTTCTAATTTTCTTCCATACATCTGAGCTTGGGGTCTCTGAAGTGATGTCAGATACATATTTTTGCCAAGAATTTCTTTGGCCTGCTAACATCAATCTCCGTGCTCTAGCTCTGGCTTGTTTGAATTTCATCATATTTGCCAGAGTTGGGTTTCTTTTGAAGACATTGTAGTTATGCTTTTTGCCTTTAATGGCTTCTTCAATTTGTTGATCCCACCAGGGTACTATAGGTTTACCAGGTTGTATGTTTGCTTTAGGGATGCTTTCGGAAGCAGCATTCAATATACTTTCAGTAACGTTGCTGACGGTTTCAGATATTGAATCACCTATTCGCATTGGAGTCAAATGTTCTCGAAATTTCTCCCAATTTGCCTTTTTAACATTCCACCTTTCTGCAAGTGGAACACTTGTACTTTGTACTGCACAGTTAAGTAGTATTGGGAGATGGTCAGATGAGTGATCATCTAAAACTTCCCAATCAAAGAGATATGATACACTTGGGCTACAAAGTGCCAAGTCTATCGCACTGTAGTTGCACGACCTAGAGTTAAGAAATGTTCCTTCGCCTTTATTCAGCACCATTAAATTTGCTTCGTTAATTATATCGTCCACTATCCTCCCTCTGGTGTCTAGTTTTTGTGAGGCTCAAAGAGGGTTATGCGAGTTAAAATCTCCTACTAAGAGAAAGGGTTTGGGAAGCTGTTCACATATGCTTTTCAATTGATTATATTCCCAGTTTTGATTGGGTAGGTATATGTTGCATATGGTCAATTTTATAGGTACTATTAGTTGAACAGCAACAACCTGAAGCTCGGATGTGATGTTGACCTCTGTAAAGGGGATATTTACATCCAGAAATATTGCCACGCCGCCCTTGGCACGGATTTGCGGCGTATCATCCTTTCTTACACATTTGAACCCACGTAGCTGAAATTTCGTGGTTGGAGAGAAATGGGTCCCTTGAAGACAGAGACAAAAGGGCTTTTTCTCCTGTATGAGTAGTTTCAGTTCTGGATAGTGATTAACACACCCATTAATATTCCACTGGACGATGGATTGCATGAGTAGAGTAGATTTATTTTATACATGCAAGGTTCAGGAGAAGATTAAGGATATTTACATATGTATATAGATGATGAGAGATAAATAAGCAAATAGGTGAGGGACTAAATAAATAAATAAATATATATAAATAAATAAATAAATAGACAAATAAATAAGTAAATAAGTTAATGAATAAACGAGTAAATAAATTGAAAAGTCCATTATAATTTTATTAAAATATCACAGTTAATTTTATCACAGAAGTATCACAGTCTCCGACAACTGCTCAGTTTCGGAGTTCTGTTGATTGGGACGCTCTGTATCATCACTCCGAACGGGTTGTTCCGACTGAAACAGTGCGGTTTTATTTCTTTTACGAGGTCTGCCTTTTTTACAGCCTCGTGTACCCTTTTTTGCTTCTGGATCGTCAGTCTGAGAAGAGGTGTGACTTTCATCAGAAAGTTCCGATCCATCTACAGGAGATGTAGCTTTTCTTTTGGACGAGTTAGAAGCATCTGATTGACTTCTAGTTCTAGACGCAATCCCATGACTTATCTTTGGCAATAGAGTGACAAATTGCTGGGGTGTGCTGCTGCATACTGCTTTGTTTTCTATGGCTTGCGAGATCGGTGTTCTAAATATAGCTGTTAGACGTGGTATAATCTTCTCTATTATTTCATCGTCTGGGCGCTTCTGAGATGCTTGTGCATATGATAAATTTGCTTGCGGGGTAGGAATTACTACCTTCCTTCTAGCTTCAGCATAACTCATTTTTTCGATAGTAATAACTTTCTCTATAGCTGATTCTGTCTTATACCTTGGACATAATTTGGAGTTTGCTGCGTGAGGGCCATCGCAGTTCACACACTTTATGGGCTGATCACAAGATTTTCCAGTGTGTATTTTCTTACCGCAAATGCAGATTTGTTCCTCTTGGCATGACATCGAGGTATGGCCGTACCGTTGACATTTGAAACAGCGTACAGGGGGTGGGATATATTGACGCACAGGTAGTTTGTACATCGCGCAACTAAGTCTCTGTGGTATGTTCGGAGAATTGAATGTAATTATGTGGCCTGGAGTGTCTTGTAGTTCATTATCCTTCTTTACTTTTATACGTTGTACCTTTATTACTCCTTCAGATTTTAGCTCATCCATAATTTCAGCTTCGGAACAGTTTAATAAATCCCTGCAGTAGATTACACCTCTGCTAGAATTCAGAGAGGCATGTGGTTCAACGGTAACAGGAAAACTAGCAAAACTTTCTACCTTCAACAATCGATATGTTTGACCATCTGTTCTTGTTAGCCCAGCTTTAATTTTCTTCACAGAATTGGATTCGCCAATCAAGCCGCATAACGTCTTTGATATCAGAAATGGACTTACTTTCATGAAATTATCGCCATCTGCTCTCTTTATTACCAGGAATCGGGGGGTAGGACCAGCCGACCCCTTGGTAATATACTAAGTGACATATAAATCCGAACACCCAGTTTAAATGGTTTTATTTTAATAAAATTTTGTATAAGTACTTAATGAAGCATAATAAGTAAATGATAAAAATTTCAAAATGATTGCGCTGCTTTAAAGCCCTTTGACCTTTAATAATGTGTGGATGCACCCTGATGTGCTACGCATTCTCCAACGCGCCTAGGCATGCTTCTGATCAGGTGGTCAATGTCCTCCTGTAGTATCTCATTCCAGGCAACCACCAACTCCTCTCGAAGTGCTTCTAGAGTCTGAGGAGGACGTTGCAAATTGAGCAATCTCCTACCCATCATATCCCACACGTGCTCAATTGGGGATAAGTCGGGAGATCTCGGTGGCCATGGTAACAATGTGACATCATTATGTTGAAAGAAGTCTATTGTGACTCTTGCAACATGTGGTCGGGCATTATCTTGTTGGAAAGTTGGATCTGCCAGGGTGTCAAGATAGGTTAAAAGATGGGGTTCTAGAACTTCGTGGATATAACGCTGCGAGTTCATGTTATCTCTGATGAAGATTAAAGGTGACCTGGAACCATAACCTATAGCACCCCAAACCATAACTCCAACAGTGTGATGAACATGTCTTTCAACAAAAAACTGTGGATTCCTCCTTTCACCACGTCGCCTTCTAACCCTGGCACGACCATCGTACATGCCTAAACAAAATCGAGACTCGTCACTAAAGACAATACTGTTCCATTCCTGATCCCAGAGTGACCGTTGTCTGCACCACTCAAGGCGATTACGTCGGTGTTCTCGAGTTAAAGGGAGGACCCAGTGTGGCCGGTATGAAAACAAGCCAAAACTTCTCATTCGTCGGTAAACACTTCGCATGCCAATAGGTCTTCCGTGTTCTGCAAACCATTCATTTGCAATGAACCTGGTAGTGGAGAAACGGTCCCCTAAGGCCAATAATCTTAGGCGGCGATCTTCACGGTCTGTTGTTCTACGGCGGTGTCCAGTGCCCCTTGCTCTTTGCGTACGGCCTTCTCGAAGCCATGCCTGACAACACCTAACCACAGTGTCTACACTTCTTTGCACTCTAACTGCAATTGCCCGAAAATAAAGTCCAGCTTCCCGAAGTCCCACTATACGGCCCCTATCAAACTCACTAAGTTGGCGAAATCGTACAGGTCTCCGTACTCTAGGCATCGTAACCCATCGTAAAGGATGTCAAGAACCAAAATCCGCCAACGTTGATTCTTTACTGCGGCTGAAATATTCATTTTTAGAGCGTTAGTGAATTAAAAAAAAAGCAGTATAAAAACCGGAATTTCCAACTGATAAGGCTCAAAATTTTGTCACTTGTTATTTACAGTAAGATAAATACATTCACCAACTTTTATTAAAATAAAACCATTTAAACTGGGTGTTCGGATTTATATGTCACTTAGTATATTACTGTGTCCAGTGGTAGCTCTGCATGTAGCTCCACCTTCGCTGTTTTTGCCTACATTTGAGCAGGTAGGTGCACCTTTTGTTTTTACTTTGTCTCCCATAGTATTGTGTTTGTCTTCACCTCCCCGGCTCCCCACCCTCCACGGAGCCTCAATGGGAGGTTATGCCCATAATCGCCTTCCGCTAGGACATAACCCCAGGGATACCGTTAATCCTAGGAAAAGGAGGTATAGTCCCCACAGGTAGAACTATCCCGAATAGTTCGCTCGTTCAGTCTCCGAAAGTCGACCACAAAGCTAGATTCACCTTTCCTCTTTGACAAGGAGAGCTAGATGGCTCAATAATGCCCTCCGCTAAGATTTTGTGAACTTCGTCGTGAATGATCTTTTGTTTGAATGGTGAAACCGGATAGTAACGTTGTTTAACGGGTTCACTATCAGTAATGGTCTTATGTTTCACCATTGAGGTATGACCCAAACGATTCCCTAGCTTCACGAAGTACAAAGAAAGATATGGCATAGCTCACGTTTGGAATAATCTTCCGACAGAAAGAACCACTCACTTCTGCGCAAGTCAGGAACAATACCAATTTTAACCAAAAAGTCAATGCCTAACACTAATTCATGACGCAATTCAGGACCTACATAGATATCTACAAAACGAGTTTCGTCACGCTACCTAATAGGAACATTAACTATGAGACATTGTTAGCGACTATGAAAGAAGCTTTCCTATTTGAGTCGATCCTAAAACCCAAATCATTCAACTTATTCCAACCATTGCTGCCTACAAAACCTAATTAGTCCCTGAATCTAACAATCATAAAATTTCATGCCAAAATATTAACCTTCAAAAATGGACATTCACCTGGACTAACATGAGTTTAAACATAATCAAGTACGGCCTTATTTTTCTCATCTAACTTACTGTTGGTCGTAGTGGCTTGACTCTGACCGTTTACCGACTATTTATCCTTATTCTTAGTACCTGAATTACTTTTGTTGTCATGGTTGTTGCCAGAATTTTTAGAAGTATTGCTATTACAACAATCGGGGCAAGGTTTTATGGTAAAATTATTCGTTCCACAACCATTGCATTTTGAAGCCCCAGATTTACAAAACCTCGCAAAATGATTCGGTTGACCACACTTAAAGCAGAGAATTTTACTTTTGCTTTTGATACTACTAGTACCTGGGATATTATTACGATAATTGATCTCAGCTTCATTCAAAAATGAGGTATCTTTTCTAAAATTGCGTTTTGTGCTATAGTCAAGCTTAGGTTCCAGACATAATCCACCCTCCTTTGGAGGTTTGAACTCCTCAAGGCGCAACTTAGTTTGGTCTAAATGCCTAAAAAGTTCTATGAGTTCAAAAGGTGTATCTATTTGGTGTAAAGTTAAGCGTTCTTGATAAAAAGGCAAAATCTGTCAAAAAGCTTTGACATAGCGGCAACATAAATACCAACAGGCTCATCCCAGGGTACGACTTAAAATTTGCTGCCATAATTTATCACTTATATAAGGAGGAACAAATTCTTCTTTTATCAAAAGAACTAAACTATCCCAATTACTAGCAGTTTTTTAAATAAGATGATAGTAATTAAGAACATCACCCTCAAAAGGATCATGTGAGATGTGTAGAAATAGAAAGTTCATTTTTTGAAGAAAAGCTTCAAAACCAAGTCGAGAGTAACCCGAAAATTTCAAATCCCATTTTCAAACAGGAACTGACAAGATTATGACTAAATGAATTATTATTTTCCAGCTGAATTATACCAGTATTACGTGGTGTGTTGATGCGGTTGCTTGATGCATTAAATTGCTGAGTTCACAGTTTGGATCTAGAGGTTTATCTACATGAGCTATAATTTTTACAAAGATTGTCATATTCTACAATTAAATCTGACAATTCTCGTAAAAATGTTTCCTTTGTTTCTAAACTGTCTGGAATTCTGTCTATTCTAGCAGTTAAGTGAGGTAATTTAGTTTCGATTTTGAGATCAGATTTTCCTGCTCCAGAGTAAGAGGAAATTAAGCCTCTTAGCTCGATAACTTTTCTATCACATTCTGCCAGTTCATCCCCTGGTTTCTCTATAGTAAATCTATGTTCCCTACTGGCAGTTTTTTCTAAAAGAATTAAGGATCTAACACGTTTTCTTAATTCATCAACCGTACCTGATTCCGAGACCCCTCTAATCTGAATCTCATATTCAAGTTCATCTTCAGTTAGACGCTCAATACTTAATTTAAACATTTTGATAATCAAGATAATAAATTAATAGAATAATACCCAAAATATGAAGCGTACTAGCTAAACATAGGTTTAAATACGCAAATACTCACAATTCTTAAACACTAACAGGAAAAGAAATAAGATCAAATAAGATCAGGGCCAAAGACACTTGTCAAAACTCAAAAATTTAAGACTAATAAAATCAAAATTGAAAAAAACCTTGGTTATCTCCGAACGGCAACCGTTTGTAGGAAGTCGCAGGTGTTGCCATAAAACCGGAGGGTAAAACTGGGCAGTAGAACCCTCTAACATTGAGGGTTCTCCAAAAATGGGGGAGCTGCTCCTCTCACTCAAACTCAGCTTGGACTAACCCTGCAGGCGGTGCCCCTCTGCTCGATGGTTGAGTGTAATTATCTGCACGGTTAAATCCCCAAAAGGCTAATAAAATGGCTCCGGTAATAAAAACCACCAAGGGTGCGGATTTCTAATAAAGACTACCCCAGCACCCTTTGAGGCCGCCACTCAGCCTGTGGACTATTCACAGAATCGGGTAGAGGGCCGCAGACAAATTTTTAAACCACAGCACCAAGTCACCTTTAGATCTCGTATTTACGGACGACAGAAATTATAGAAAATGATCTCCAACAAGATGGAGAGTAGAGTACGATATTGTACCACAAGATTATTAGACTGACAGAAGTGTCTGTTATAAAAATAAAATTCGATATTTTTAAGAACGGCTATAAAATTGTTGTCCTAAATAAGAAAAACGTTGAAATAATTTACCTTATCAAGATTTAGTTAATTTTTGGTCGACCATAAAAAGAAACTGTAGGAATAACTTGGATTGCATTGACCGAATATTAATAGCATATCAACTTGCTCGTTTCTTGTAAAACTCATATTAAAACAATACTGTTGGTTTACCTTTTATGGAATGGGAGTAAGTGAAAACAAATTCAAGTGAAACGAAGATTACCAAACATCAAATAACCAAACAATAATGGGTACGCTATGAATTGACTCTCACTTGTTTTCCACAGCCTACTATTCTTTTCAAATGAATGCTCTTTGAAAACATCCTAAATTTTCATAGCCTTCTCACTTTCTTGCGGCGATTGGTAGCTTCTATGAGATTGAAATTGTAATTTTAGTTTGTTATGGGACCGATAGTAGCTTGCAGAGCATCATTGGAAATATGTTCTAATTTAGAGCCAATAATAAAAAAACATACTTTTCGTTTTATAATATCTACAGCTTATAGTTTGTGCACAGGCCGTCATTTGACAACAAAAGTAATACTTGTTATACATCATTGAATAGAGAACTTCACGTAGAATAAGATTTCTGAAAATGGTATACACGGTCCAATTTAAAATTTATCGGAGATCCTGTGTTGAATATGTGGATTCCTGATTTTTTCAAATAAGTATACTAACATGAAAAACACATAATTACAAGCCTTTAATTATCCCGTTTTAATGGACATTTGTTAATTTCCTAGTGTTTGGAAACTATGTGGCGCCCAAATAACAATTGCATCCGAAACCAAAGTTCAAAGAACCTCACCGTGAGAAGGCTCACATCTACCAACTGAACACACAGTTTATTCGGGATAACAATAAATACTCGTATTTTGCATTATGTTCACTTTGTCCCAACGGTATCTACTAGGCAACTGGAACAAGCAACAAATGTAGATCGTGAGTCAGCCAGGCAGGTTTTAAAGGAACATGAATTCCGCTCATATAATTATCAGGTACACCATCACTTATATGAAAAGGATTTTTCAAGAAGATTGACCTACTGTAACTGGCTTCCTGCTCAACTTCAAGAAGATAGTAATTTTTATTATCATATTTTGTGATCTGATCAATCGCGTTTCACAAATCTTTTAATTAATATTTTATATAAATAATACACGTTTTTGGGAACTGAAAATCCTCGTTTGACAGGAGGGAGGGATTAGGGGCCTTTCAGGATCGTTTTGGAATGCACGAGTGGCTCGGAGTTCTGGAAACCCGCATAGTTGGTCCTATATTTCTTTATGAACCCTTAAATGAGGAAGATTGTCTTAACTTTTTGCAAAATAAAATAGAAGATTTCCATGATGTTTTTCCCCTTACTGACAATAGTTCAACAAGATGTGGCGCCCGCCCCGCCCATAGCAGCAGATAAGTTACAAGATATTCAACGGATAGATTCGGGAATAGTTGGCTAGGAACAAACGGTCCTATAAGGTGGCCCCACAATCACCCGACTAAACCATTATAGGCTTTTTCATTTGGGCCTACTTGAAGAAGAAGGTTTTTGTCACGCCTCCTATAACAAGAAGTTTCAATAAATGATACGAAAATAATGGAAAATAATGAACTGTACTAAATTTACTATGAATGTTTAACAGTTTTTAGTTCTGAATTCTGTAATAATTTTTTATGAGTGGAATGATTGGGCAAAATACTTAGAATAGGGTAAAAGAGGATCATAATAATTTCAGCTTGTAGTAATCAATGGGAGTTGTTTCGATACTCTGTTCTTATAAAATAGAAAATATAACATTTTTTTCTTACTTTGACTGAAATTATCCTTTTTTATTTTGATCACATCGCCACCTTGACAGTTTAAAATATTTTTTGTTTTGTAAGCAGTATGGCGGATTTTTGGGTTATTCACAAATTCCTTTATCCGCTATCTTATAATAAAAATGTCACTTGTGACACATCGTTGGAAAGGGAATTTTGCATAGAGTACGATTATGGAAAAATATACACTTTTCTATTTGAAAAACGAAAGCCAAGGTCACTTCCGGTTAAATCGGAAGGGATAAATAACCCATTCAACGTTCCAGGAATGCCTCTTAATGACTGACTAAACATGCCTCAATCTTGAAGCGATATCTTTATTTGCCAAAAAATAAAGCGTGTTTCCAATTTTCATTGTCACCCGGTAAACTCGGACACAGGAGTGCGACCGCTAGCGCGGAGTGCCTTTGTAAAGGCAAAGTTGATGCACGTGGACTCAGAGACACGCAGAGTCAACAGTGGCGCGATGTGTTTTGCTACTCTCTTCCGTTTTGGTGACAGACTATGGAATATTAAAAAGGCTTATATGAATGCGTGGGTAGTACTATGTCAGTTTATTTCATCCTATTTCTTCTCTCGTAGCCTCAGAAGCGACTGCACTGATTGTACTTCGAAAGCTTAGTAGGGAACGCTACTTCATTGTCTTAAATAGGTATAATGATGGCAGAAATATTAAAAAAAATCGTTAGATAATTTTATTTTTGTGTTATTTTCAACCTCCTAATAAAGGATTTTGGTGGTTTTTGGCCAAAAATGTTTTGCGTAAAAGGATGAGATAATTATTTTTTTAATCTTTTCCCACAATGAGTCGATATAATCCTAAAAGGGTACATTCACTTCTTTCCAATCTCCCACCTCAATCCTGAATATACCATTCCTCGGTAAAACGTACTTGACGAGACATCGGTTTCAATCTTAAGCTTATTTAATAATTTCTTAACTGAGTTGATGAGAGTATCCTTGGATTTCTGAGGGCCGTTGATTTTGAGTTCAGAGACCAATCATATGTATCACATTAAGGTCAACGCCATTTCAGGGTGAACGCAATGAAAATCTTAAAAAATAATAGATCCTGGAAATCGAATAACTCCCTGGTCAACTCTAGGCAAAATGTGGCTCACCATCTTGTACAGTTTAATGCTTCCAAAACACAGTACTGTACTCTGACAAACAAAAAGCGTCCTAGCGCTCATCCGGTTTCGATGGATAGCCGAGATCTGCCAAAGAGCCATTCATTTTCGCTGGTCGGAGTCTAGATCACCAAGGACCTTATCTGGCACGAACACATCTAGTCAATAGCGGCCGCTGCCGGGCTATTTGATTAGGGCTAAGAAGTACTGTTCTCGGCATAACCTTCTCACTCTATACAAGGCCCAGATACGGCCTAGCCTCGAGTATTGCTCACACATTTGGGGTGCTGCCGCCCTAACTACATTATTTATGCTCGATGCTGTCCAGAGGAGGGCGTTCCGACTGATCGATGACTCTTCTCTAACAGACAGTCTCGGGACCCTTCCGCACCAGGGGTCGTCGGTGATATAGCTCTTTTCTACCGCTACACCAACGGGTTTTGCTCCTCAGAGCTCTCTTCCATGATGCCGCCGCGCGATGTTCTGCCAGATAGACCTGCCTAACTTTAGCGTCCCATCCTAACCGTGTCGAACATTCAGAACTGGCTGATACGACCGCTCCTTCATCGCGAGGGTGTCGAGATTGTGGAACAATGTACAAGAGGAAGCTTTTCCTAGTTCTACTAACCTTGGGCAGTTCAAAAGTCATATTAACAAAATTTCTTTGGGATCATCATAGCAGCCGCGGTGTCCCGGCATTTAGGCTTCTGCCTGCGCAGCTGCTTCGGTATAAGAAAAAGATAAGAGCTAATTGATGGTAGACATTGAAAAAATCATTACCAGATACCAAAATTAATTTGGGGAAGAACCTCTCCAAATCGGCCCCCATCCTTTAGGGTGTAGTGAAACATAATTTTAGGAGCTCAATAGTTTTAGTTTACTAAGACACCGGTGTGAAGTTGGCAGACAAAATTTAGCGGACAATTTGCCGAAGATACCCGAATGACCAGTGGTGTCGACATCCTCGACCAGACTGTGATTGTGAAGGGTACAGCTAACAGCTCGCAACGATAAATATATATATACACGAGAATAAGCACCCCTATAGGAAGAATCATTTTCCACCCTAATTAAATATTATAATTCATATGGTATGGAAAGTAATTAATTAGCTAAATAGCATATACTGAGAAAATCTCTAAGGGGGCGGTAGATAAAAAAATATAAATAAAACTTCATTTTTACCCCCAAAAAAATGATTCCCCAAAATAAGTTTTATCTCAAAAAAATACTCTATTACAGAGACAATTCATGGGCTAGGTGGCATGGTGTGAGAAAGCTTCTGAAAGGCTGGCAGATAAAAAAATAT